CCTGGCGCATGAAATCAGCCACAGACCAGTAAACCAATGAGAACGCGCTACATTCCTGCAAGTCATAGCAATAGAGTGGAAGTGAGTAAGCTGCAGAGAATCCGCTTGCCCGGAAGCAACCATAACTGACGTAGATTTACAGAAAATAACTGCCATTTGGCAAAAAAATTATTTGACGTACTTATTCCTAACTCTTTAAGCTTTAAAGGCAGGGTATGTGATTTTTCAAAAACACTTTAGAAAACTGATTCGGGTCGAATAGCAAAACAAACTTGTAGCCAATCAGCAATAAGGGGCGTGTCTAGGCTACTCGTGATGTGGAGGAGAGAGCTTTCAGTGCATGGGACGGATATTAGCCGGGCCGAGCGACAGAAAGATAGAGATGGCGGATAAAAAACAAAAGAGGAAAACGTCTGCGGAACGACAAGGCAAGAAGTAGGACCCGTGTAAATATCGGATCAGCTTTCCAGCGCTGGAGAGAACTCAAGGAGCGGAGGCCTGCGATCGGACGCCGAGGTTGCTTTGTTTCTTCTCAATAGGTGAGTAACACCGTGTCTACAACAACTAAAGTCTGCCTACACTGGACGCGAGAAAGAGGTCAAACGACCGTTGAAAACCATTTGAAATGTATGTCAGCACTATATATATATATATATATATATATATATATATATATATATGTGTGTGTGTGTGTGTGTGTTTGTGTATAATTTAAAAACTCAGATTTCTGTAAGTAAAAGCTTCTTTTCTTTTATTTATTTATAAACACATCTGCATTATATGTTGTACACATTTTTTGTGCACAATGTTTTGGGTACAATTAGCAAATTGGCAAAACATGGAGAAATTGAAAAAAATTCCATAGTCAGAAATAACTAATCAAAATAGTGTTTTTTCCTCCCAGAGCTTTAGCACAAAAAGTAACTTGTTAATGCAACTGCATGATTACACATCTCATTCGTCCTCTGTGATTTCCAGCTTTACTTTTTAATACAGCTGGCAAAAGAAGAGAGGGGAGCAAGTAATTGAGAAACATGGTAGCTTTGCAGTGGCATCTGGGGACTGGTGCAGCCATTAACTATGTGAGAGTGAGAGGGCCTTAATGAAGTGAACTGTGCTCTCAGAGTTAATGAGAGAGTGAACTCACCACTAGAGCAGTCCAGTCCTCCCCAGCCTGGCTCACACTGACATGTATCAGGAGACACACACCGACCATGGGCACACTCCTCGGTGCATTGTGCTATCAGAGAGAAAAGAGCAGGAAGACAAAGAAACACTTTAAACATAGCAGAAATAGAAAAAATATTCTGGTAAAACACTTTGCAGATAATAAATGGAGTTTGAGATCCAAACACAAATAAGTTGCTGGATGCATCTTGCATAAGACAGGAAATGTGAATTAGCACAGGATGCCATCCAGACACCGTATGCCTGAGCCTCCCGCAAGACATAATTTAGCCGCCTGCAAATGTCTGCTGATGTGCTGATATGGAGGATAATGACTACACTGGCCATTTTCCAAAGATGGCTGCACCGATGCCTCCATGCTAGAGCTGTCGAACATAGAGCAAAGCCCTTCTTATTGTCGCATGTTTAAAATGCTCACTCTGACCACAAGCTAAACGATTTCTTAGGAGACTGAGTCCTTGGTCAACATCTCAGTTTATCACATGAACCGGTTGTTCCGTGCAAAACGAGCCGACGTAAGCAGCCACAGCCGCAAGGAAACAAGCTGTAAATCCCTCCAAATTTGATCAGCCTGCACTTTGCCACAATACTCTAACGCTGCGCCAGCCAGCCAGCCTTCATGCTGTTCACGAAGTGTGCAGTTTTCTTGATCATTCCTATTGAACAACACAGCATCAAATTGATTGTCTATTGCATTAGTATTCCTGCCCGGGCCCTCGCATTCGGTCAGATATTTGGATTCGGACAAGTAATAAAATGACCTACATGGAGTTTTTACCAGTCTTCTTATTTTTTTACTTTTTTCAGGATGATGAAAAAGATGAATTAGAGGGGAAATATATGGGCGTTAAGCATGAATAATGCTTAAGGGAGTGAAGGTCACCTGGCCAGCAGGACTCAAACCGACAGGCTCTAATCGGAGTCAGGAAACAGTCGACCCCCAAAGCTTCTGGAACAATCCACTTTGATTGGAATCAGCGGTGACTCTCCAAGTATAGGCAGAAGAGAGCATGTGCTTCTAGAGATTTTAGCGTGAAGTAGGTAACAAAAAAAAAGTCAGATGCTATGGTATGTCCTTATCTTTGACCATGAAATATGTGAAGGTTGGCTCTATAAATAACACAAAGTTAATGTGGCCAGTCATGCATTTCATTGAAAAAAACCTGATAAACAATGTGATGACCAGCATTTATCTTATGAATTATGATTCACTTGGGAAACAGTGAGAGAAGTCTTTCTTAACCTTTTCTAACCTAAACACAAACTCAAAAGGTAATGAATTCAGGTTCTCATGAAGTGTTATATTGCAATACATGTGTTAATCTGAATAAATCAATTCATAGTGAACTAAGGGATTGGTACTGGGGCTGCTTTGCCCCCCTTCTACTCCAAAGTGTTCCTCCAAACCACACAAGAGCCACTCAGTGAGGAGCTATATTTCAAGTTCTGTCACGTTCACAGGAGCCCTGAAGTATGACACAAATCTTAAATGTCAGCACTTCAGGAATAGTGAATTATTTCGGCAAAAGCTGCCCACACATTTTGTGGTGCTTATGATAATCTGCTTTTTACCAGTAAATTGTTTTGAAATATTACTATATATTTTTATATGGAGGGGAAGGGCTGCAGATTTCTTATATCCTTAAGTAACGAAAAAGAGCATGTTTTTATGCATTTAAAATGCACTGTACATGAATGAGCGTTTTTATACGAAACAGCTATGGGTACTTTAATACCATGTGGAAAAATATCCATTATATTATAATTTTCACTCTCCCACTATTTGGGGTTGTGTGATATCACAATTTTTGATCATGGATGATTAAAATGTCTCCTCTCCACCATCTGCTTTTGAAGAAATATCGTAGAATCGTGTTACAGGGCACATTCTATCAGTTGCAGTTCTGGCGCCTCCCTCTCAATATACTGTACAACGCAATTGCCCTTCGCAATCACAAAGGTACATTATTTGCATGTGCTTTAAAGCCTTGCTGATTAAGTACTGAACTAAGTTATCTTTCACGTCTTATTGCGCTAATACTGTCAAAAACACACAAGGTTTACATATAAATATATAGTATGAGTGCCTGTATATTAGATGCGTGCAGCTCTACAGCAGACTAATAGTATTAAATATTATCATTACATTAAAGATTAACATTGTCATTAAAGGGATAGTTCATCCCAAAATTTAAATTCGGTCATTATTTACTCACTCCCATGTTGTCCCAAACCTGTATAAATGTCATTCTTCTGATGAACACAAAAGAAGATATTTTGAAGAATGTGGGTAACCAAACAGTTGCTGGTCCCCATTGACTTTGATAGTAGCAAAAACAAAAATACTATGAAAGTCACTGGGGAGGGTACCAGCAACTGTTTGGTTACCCACATTCTTCAAAATAACTTTTATTTTCAACAGAAGAAAGAAATTCATTCAGGTTTAAAATAACCTGAGAGTGAGCCACCCAGATCCAGTCCATATCCAGACCAGATGGTGGATCAGCACCTAGAGACGACCTCAACAGCCCTGAATGTCAGCAGAGACCATGTCAACTAGATGAGCCCTAGAGACAGATCCCCTGTGAAGACCTCCTCCCCTTGACGACCATCGGCACAAGACCACGGGAACCAGACAAGTACTCTGCACCTGTGCTGCAGCCTGGAATCAAACCAGACGTGGTTTCGTCTGAGCAGTGGAGAACTGCCCCCACCAACTGAGCCTGGTTTCTCCCAAGGTTCCCAACAACAAAACACAAAGAGAAAAATCAAACACGGCTCTTGACTGAAGAACTTTAATACAGTTGCTTTAATAAGAATCAATGTATAATTTATACAGTGAAGTGTATAGTGTTTTATTTTTATTAGGGATGCACCGATACCGATACTGGTATCGGTATCGGGCCCGATACTGGCCTCCTGTACTCGTTACTTATAATTTCTTGAATGCTACTGCTAAATACACCTACTGTACCAAAAAAAAAGTAGTTTGTTTGAGTTGTATATTATATGTATTTGTAATGTGTATCTTTGTTCTTATTTTTTAATAACAAAGATAAAATAATAACAAAGATTTTTATCTTCACCCACTTTGTCCTAAATATCTGCCATTTTTTTTTATATATACGTTGTTACCATGTAAGGCTTTGTTTTTAAAATAGGGAAATTAGTTTGGCTGTATTAATCAGACAACTTGCAAAATAGTAATGTTTTATATATATATATATATATATATATATATATATATA